TTCAGTATACCCGAGAGTAGTTGCTGCATCTTGCTGTTCTGGCGTAAGCGAAGCCCAGTCCTTCTTTTCAATCGGAATCTTTCCATCATTGTCCCATACTGAACTGGTGTAGCCCAAAAACTTCGCTGCTTTTCGGACCTCAGGAGGTAGATCGTCGAAGTCATATTCCTCGTATCCATTTCCCTTGTCATYTTCTCCATTCCACTTCGTGTTTTTGCCATCAGGAGTCATACAAATTAGAGAACCAGGTCAAAAGGATRCGAAGGGAAAAGACATTACTGCACTCACCTTTTTCTTGTTGTAACCCAAAACACCAGCAGCTTTCTTCTCCACTTTCGTTAGWTTATTCCAAGCCTTTTCTGTGGACGCAGGCTCGTCACCCGATTCCCATAGACTTCAAAAAATATGAAAAACTTCAAACATTAGAGAAGTTTTGATTTCGAATTTTGCATGCATGCAATCGATTTCAGTTTTCCTTACATTTTATTATATCCGAGAGTAGATGCAGCTTCTCGGATTTCCGATGGTAATTCATCCCAGTTGGTATCAAGGTACCGAGTTCCCTCRGCACAATTTTGCTTKATGACCCGCTTCGAAAGTTGTTCCCAGTTTGATCGTATAATGWAAAAAAAACAAATAGTTGACAACGTTGAATAACCCACCACCAAACCAATTACCATTCCCTCGAGCCCGAAGTCAAAAAGGTATACAAGGATTGCAGCAATTGGTATCACGATGAACCAACTCGAAATGATCTCTATCATGGTCATCAAGCGAACACGTCCTTGAGCATTAAGAATACTTTCCATCACCATTCCAGGAACCATCAAGATTCCGCCAAAGCCAATGAGAGGAAGCTGATCAAATACTAATTTCTGATAAACAAGATTTGGCGTAAGCCAAGATGGAAGAAATTCTGCAAGTACAAACAGAGTACCAGCCGTGTAAATWGCGCAAAGGGTACCAAAGTAGATACTCTTCTCTGACATTTTCTTTGCTAACTGTGGTTTACCCGCCCCCATTCGAAAACCGACTCTTACTTCTGCCGCAGAGGCTACTGCTTCTGTAAAGGTAAATGAAAGGCATGCATTAGCAACTATCTAGGTTTTTCCAAGGATTTGTCAGAAAATAAGCTATTCACTCACCAGTWACCGATTCAAAGAAATCCCATATGTAACCCAGAAAGTTCCATGCGGCGACTTCATCTGATCCGATCCATCTATGGAGATGAATACAATGAATTAGAAATTTCGTAATGGAAGAAATTGAACAAAGAAATGTTTCAATTCTAGCTTGAAACTTACTGAGCGAATACGATCATGACTGACCACTGTTGAAACGCAAAGACAAAAAGTATTGTAAGACAAAGTCGAAGTATTACCACATTGACATGACCCCGATCTCTTACCTCTCCAAATGAAAGAATCCATGACACGCCAAGAGGGATCGCGGTGATAAAAGTAGTCCACATTGCCCGAAAGTCCTTTCGATTTWATTTTCGAGGAAAAATGAATTAGATGAAGAMGCATGTACTAAAAAATTCAGAACTCCCCATTACAGTCCAACTTACCTTGAGGCCGAATGTTTTTACGAGACCTTCCGAAACATGGTCGAACCATCCTTTCTTCGAAACAATTAAGAAGTTTACAAACATGATAGTTATTCTCACAAAGGATTGGGCCAGTCCAATTGCAACCATGTTTGAAACACCTAAGGTAGACATTGCAACTATAGTACCGGATGATATAARTGCTTGCACCACAGCGAATATGGTGACATATTTTTCACGGTCGGTCACATCCAAGAATTCAAGAAGACATTCATTGACGSTTTCTGCTATCCAATACAGGAATATGCTGTATGTGTATTGTTGCGCGATTTCGGCCGTTAGCTCGTCAAAATTGAACCATAGCATGATGTCATACATGTAAAAGGACCATAAAACAAATCCAGGAATCTGACAAAGAAWACTGAATATAAATACGATCTGAAGGTATCTTCCAACCAAGAGGTCATTCCCTGCCCCTTCTGCCTGTGGTACCAATACACTAAGTGCTGAAAATAGGATATGGGATCAAAGGATTTTTTAGACAATCTAGAACGCCGTCRCAAAGAATTAACGGAAGATACTCTTACCTTCTTGATACCCAACCGAGAATACACCTGACGTCTCGAATAGAAAGTTCACCATCATAAACGCGTTTCCCTCTGTTATTCCAATCATGTGGCTGATCAGAGCAACTTCGACAATTTCGGTAGCTGTCTCAATGATTCCTTGGATCATGTAGAACCCTGCAAGAGAGGTCAGCGAAGATTCCCACTCAGAAAGTTCCAATAGCTTCTCCCAGCAACTTATCTTGGGTGCAATATCTACAGTGCTGTACATATTTTTAGTCACTGGCTCCCCACCAACACTACATTCGTTCAGACTGATATCGTCAATGCTTACTTTGCTCATAACAGATTTTCCGGCACWGGAATCGCCGAAAAAAATGTTGTGCTCCACTTCAATACCGCTCTCCTCGAAACTAAGCTTCGTCAGTTCTGCAGCATACCTAACATCCCTATCACGCCTTCGCCTTTGGCGATGAGCTGGACGTCCTGCCGTTCGCCTAGGTCGTGCATCCAAAACAGCATTGAGCGGTGCGATGACTGTGGAAGATAAGCTCGAATACTKAGAATCTGAAACAACTGATGACTCGCACGGGTGTCTCCCACCACCAGTGTAATCGTCCCCATCCTCACTCTCGYTTATGTCTGGGATTTCTGATCTGGTCTTCGTACACAAGTTGTCGTCACAGAGCTTAGCTAGACGAAGCCATATTGGTAGAGTCAAGTTAATTGCAATGGAAACAGCAACAGCAATCAACGTGGTTTTCCATTCATCAAGATCAACCATCGTCTCCAATCAAACTTTGAGCGAAGTGTCCCGATTAAGTAAGAAAGAATACAGCTAGGGACGGAGACGAAGAACTTGTCTTCGGTTTTGTACTAGCCACCCTGATGGTAGCGTGATCCACTTCTGCCAAACTACTCGCGTCCTCTCAACTACTTTCTGCCAGATCTCCGAAAGATAGAAGAAAGGAGATCGAAAAAGGGGAAATTGCCACGTTCACGGATGAAGATTTTTTGAATGTATTCAACCCGTCAATCGACCTTTCAAATACCCAAAGACACGATAAATCCTTGGGAAAAATAATCAGTCAGGTAATGGCGACAGACAAAGATCTGTTACTACGCTGTAGGAACTCAGAGTTCAAGATAGATGGTGTACCGATCGGGTCAGGTCCGTCCGACCAGTTCTGGATTCTTTTGATTCGATTTCTTATATTAACTGTATCCCGAGTCTCGCCGATAGCATACCGGTAATGCCTCATAGAAAATGAAATTGAGTTGTGATGGCCGTCTTYCAATAGTGGACGTACCGTCGCGTTCATTGGTTTTTCAAGACATCAAAAAAATACGAGACGGTCAAAAA